TTATTTTTTTTTTGTTCTTTATTTGTTAGTTTCGTTTCCTTAGTGGTAGTCGGGTTTTTGTTTTTTTTTTTTTGTTTGTTGTTTTTTTCTCTTTCGTTGTGTGTCCGTCATTTCCTCCGCTACTCCTTTGTGTTCTCATTCGCCCGGTTTTGTCCTTGACTTGGGCGGGCCGTTCCTTCGCAGAGCAAGTGCGTGTAGAGTAGAGGGCAAAGGAGGAGGAGGAGGAGGAGGAGTGTGGTACTGCGGTTGGGGCTGCGGACTTCGTTCGGCTCCTTCTTCCTTTCGTGGGCGAGGGGCGAGGAGGGTGCCTGACCAGGGCCGGCGGCGGCGCTGAGGCTTCCCCTACGACGAGCGGTGGGCGGCCGCGGCGCGGTAGGCAGCAACTGTAAACTTTCCGGCAGCAGGGGGCCAAAATAAATAAATATGTGTCCACGCGCAGGAGGACGGGGAGCGGTGAGTTGCCAAGTGCTCTGCGGCCTCCGTCAAGTTGTCTTCGCTGGCCTAGTCCTCGTTTGGTTGACCGGTGGCGTGCATGGAGGGACCGCGTGTGACGCTGTCGAGGGGTATTATGTGCCAAACGGGGAGGACTATCGGGGGCACCTGAACGTGACGGAGACGGGGATTCCATGCCAGAAGTGGAGTGAGCAGGCTCCGCACCGGCACGACACACCCGTCCCAAACGTCTTGACGGGCGTGGGCGACCACAACTTTTGCCGAAATCCCAATGGACTCGAACATCCCGGATGCTTCACGATGAACCCTTCCATACGATATCAATTTTGTGCCGTGGGACCGCCTTGTGGCTGGACGCCACCAGCGACGATTTTACAGTTTAAGCCTCCGTCCGGCACGCACCTGCAAATTGGTCAAACTGTGAAGATCGTGTGCTACCCACGTCCTTGTCAAATTTACTACACATTGGACGGTTCCGTGCCTGCAACTGCATCGGCTATCCTGTATGCACGGCCCATAGTCGTGACTAGGAACACCACGGTGAAGGCTGTTTCCTTCTTTGGAGCAAACAACACCTTGCGGCGTGAAGCATTTTACACATTACCGCCACCCTCAGCTCCAAGAAGTGTATACTTTAGTCCGTTGCCATCGGAAGTGGTCCGTGGCCCTGTGTTGGTGCTTCTCAAGGGGTTAAACGTGAATGATACCGTCCTCATTTTTAAAAATGAGGCTCTTCGCGGGTCTCCGTACGAGGGTCCGTTTTGGTTGAATGAGACCACAAACGTGACAGCTGTCATCAATGGGGAGCATATTGTGCGTGCGAGCTACGTCTTTGCGGCTACCGGCGTTCCTGTGGAGATGTACCCGGTTTCAGGGAAATACATTGGCGGCGTCTCCTGTCTTGTGTACCAAGCAGGTCCTCAGGCAACCTATGCCGTTTCAGTAAACCATTCTGTTTGGCGGCAACTGACTAAATTTGCTTTTAGTATAGATACTGTTGGTACCAACTTGGTGGAAGTAAGGTCGACCTCCTTGGGTGGTGTAGTAAATCTTGTTTGGCGAACGTATGAGGTTGTTGAGGCGACTCCTCCTCTGCTTTTGCCAGCGCCGGATGCTGTCTACACCCAACCTATTCGTGTGACATGCAAGGATCCCATGGGGCGGGCACTGACGTTGGAGGAGGAAAACAAGAAGGAGTTTGGCTATACTCTCCGGCTTGACGTCCCTGGCCGGTTTCCTGTCAACTGCACCTACGTAGACGATCTGCATCATGCAAGGGCCCAACACGTTGTGTACGAACTTCAGTCCACGCCCCTACCGAGGCCGCTTTTGTTACCGGCTTGTGGCCGGACCTTCCCCATGACGCCGCTTCTGCTTGTGCCGGCAATAGTGCCTCCACCTGACGTGGGGGACGCGCGGGATCCGTTGCGGCTGCGGCTGCATGCGGCTTCCACAGGTGCCACACTCCAGAAACTGCTAGGCGGTCATTCCTATCTCCTCAGGACAACCCAGGCTGAGGCGACAAACGTCACGGTGACACTGTTCACCCGCTCCTCTCTTCCGTTGGAGGCGGACAGTCCACCTCTTATTTGCCGGTACGAAGTGCTGCCGCTGGGTTCCTCTGCCACGCCGTGGTTTTTGGTCCGCCCTCCCCGCGAGGATTATTCTGGTTGGGTCAGTGGTTTGCTGCGGCAACTTGCCAGTTGCCTCTCCTTTGGCACGCAAGAACTTGTTTTTGCTGAGACGATAGGGCCGTTTGTGATGCTTCAGCTGCGGCGTCTACCGACTTTACTGCGCATGGAGTACTACACTCGCACCGGTGACTGCCTGCGTGGGAGGTTGGGCTTGGCGGACCTTCGAAACGAAACCAGTGGGACAATACAGCTGGCGCGCTGGTGGACCGCGCAGACGTCGTCGTCGAGCGCCACTACGGGTGCAGGGGTAACGGTTGTGGTGGAGGGTTGGGGGCTTGGCTCCGGCAGATACCGTCTTGTGCGTCAAGAGTTTCCGTGCAACGATCTCGGGGTACGCCACCTCGCGAGAGAAGCTCTGAATTCTTCTTCGCTGCAGCTGTTGTTTGTCGTTGACACTCCAGGGAGCTACAAACTCTGTGCGTCGTTCAACGATGCCTTTTACACGGTGCCCTCCAATGGGCTTCTTCTTGTCAATACAAGTCGTCTGCCGGTGCCGAACCCCGTGCCATGTGGCGGCCCCTCCACAGGGCCGATAAGTGCGACGGCGGATCTGGACTCAAAAGGCAGTTATTCATATCTCTTTGTTTCTATCGACGCGGGCCTGTGGCATCGTGTGGCAGCTGGTGCAGTCGTACACGTTGCCCGTTTAACCGCATCTGTCACATCTGCAACGCTGGCAGTGGCGACAGACCAACGCAGCGAGGCTTCCGCGGTGTGTGTCTTTTACCTTCCCCGTGGTGAGGTGCCCAAAAAGGTAACCTACAAATGGGGTGTAACCTCAACGTATGAGGGAAGGAGCAATGTTGTCCTTGCCGTGAATGGAAGCTTTGCTGGCGAGCGTCACGTGGAATTGCGCGCGTATAGGTCGCGCAGGAACGACACCAATGAATCTCCTCCAGCGATGGGTGAACGCGTGCTCGAAGGGTCGGTGGCAGACGTTCCATTCTTTACCTCATTGGGGACACGCATGGGCGCCTTTACGGTGTCGGATCGTCTCTTGACGCTTGTCGGCGGCGCGGAGGAGTCCCCGGTTTTCGTTGTGGTCTCCATTGATGGTACTTCGCTGCATGCAGAACCGCTCACCCTCGCCTTATCCCCACTAGCTACTGCCATGCATTCCTGTGAGAACTGTACGAGTGGCTGGTGTTTTCGTGACCAGTGCGTTTGTATTGGTGAAGCAAACCGCACGGCATACTTTTGCGTGGAGAGAGCCTCGCCGCCCCCAACTCCCCACGCGGATTCCTCTCGCTTTGGGTTGTTGTTGGTGTATTTGCTGATGTTGGGTGCGATATGCCTTTTAGTGGCCCTGGCCATATATCGTGGGAATAGGCTGCATGCCAGCCAACATGCGAGTGAGCGGGCGGTGGTGGAGTCGTAGGCGGCGGCGCGCTACGACAAGGGCGACATGGAAACGGGTCAAGGAGGAGGCACTTGGGGTCAATACGCGTGCGCGGTACGACTTTGGTGGAGAACACTTCCCCAATTGTGGGCGGGAGTGGGGAGAAGCAGCGGCACGAAACCGAAAAAAAAAAACACCTTTGCATCTGAGAAGGAGGATACAAACAAAACAAAAAAGCCTTGGTGGATAGACGGAATGATCAGCATATTATTGGCGGGGAATACATGTGGTGTAATTGGATGGGATAATATTGCTCGCTCTCTTTTTTTTCTTTTGTCTTTTCTTTCTTTCTCTCTCTCTCTCGCTCTACTTGGTAGGTTCTGTTTTACGCGGGCTTCCTCGTTAGTGACGAGTGAATTAAGAAGGCCGTATATGACGCGCCGTTGAAACCGCGGGTAAGCTGCCGTGGACCGCCAAGGCGGGACGGCGTCCTTCGTGCTCAGCTAACTAGTCCGCGATCGCCGTGTTTGTTTCCCTTTGAGTTTTGCAAAGGGGAATGACGTGAAGCCGCGCCGCCGTTGGAGGGGCTGCCTAGTAAGCATGCATATACATAAACGTGCGGGACGAAGTCATACTCTGCGGGGTTCGACAAGAGTCGCCCGCCCTCACTCCAAGTTTCCATCTCCAGCCGGACACGGGACCTGCGGAACGCATAGCCCCAGCGCGGGTGACGCCGACCTACGGACTAAAGCAGACAAACGGGAAAAAGGAGCGCAAACCCGCATGACGGAAATGAAGTGGCTTTTAGAAGCTTGACACTATTTGGATGGGGTTACTACTTGCATAACTTTTGTTTTGTTTTTGCTTTTGGGGTGCCTCCTCGTGCGTGGGCTTTAATAAGCGTGCGGCGCCGTGTCCAACCTGTTCCACATCGTGCTTATTTCTTTGGGGCGCCATACTTGATTCGCCTGCCTCTCGGCTAAACTCTTTTACTTGGCTTTCCTTGCTGCTGGAGTTACAACGTGCTTATCGCCGTTCCATCTTTGTCGCCGTAGGGTGTGCGAGTGTGGGTGAGGCGTAAGTCTTGCTCGTCGGTGATGCCGGAGGCCGTTGTCACCGTGCGTAGGGCGCGGATGGGGTCACGGAGGTGGAGACGGTGGGTCCACCGAGGTGTGTGGACCATTGTGTGGTGGGTGGGCGCCGTGCTGGTTGGAAAGCTGCATCAGGATTCCGTGAAGATGTATGTGGCCGTGACCCTGATGCTGGGCATATATGCGCTGCTGAGCGACACGCCACGAGAACAGACGTTGCGGGCGACGGGCGCGAGCGTTGGCGATGCCCCAACGCCGCTCAACAAGGCGACGGCCGCTGGACAGGGAAAAGCTGCTGCCGTCGTTGCCGACCCCGCTTTCGTTGCTGCTGTGAACGCTAACGGACCGGCTGTCCGCAAAGGGGCTTCCGCCGTAGAGAAGCAGCGGGCAATCTTCGCGGCCTTGAAGGCAATTGGGACGCCGCAGGCGCTTCGCGCCATTCGGGATGAGGCGTTTCTTGAAGCCATTCTGCGCTCTCCGTTGGATGCGGCGCAGTGCTGCTGCGGCAGTGGGAGGCGCTTCGCACGTTGTTGTCGCCTGCTACAGGAGGAGCTTCGTGGCTGTGGCCTGTAGGCTGGCGGGAGAAAACGTGCGATGTGGCGCATTTCTCTGCATCTTCGTTGCGACATGAGCTTGTGCATGCCTGCACTCTTCACTCTGGTGTACTTGTGTGCATCTCTGGAAGCATGTGTTTCGTTTTTACGTCCCCCCCCCCCCACACCCACCC